GAAATGAGATGTTTGTACATGAAGGGACCTTTAATTGTGTCTGAGGAACTCATGTCAGATCAACATGTGGTCTCAGTTATTCTGCAGAGGTTATTACATTTCAAGCTGTTTTGTGTTCCTTTTCAGCATTTAAATGAAGTATTTTCTCTTTGATATATTTGATGTGGCTCAAAGAAGCTTGTTTTTTTTCCCCCCCTTTTCCTCATAGATTGTATTGTTTGATTAGATCTTTTTGTTAAGTCAGATCAAAGATGGCTTTTCTTTCTTTAGGAGGGATCTTTTCTTAAAACACATCAATAGAACAGATTCCACAGGAAAGACTCATTTTATTTAAACGGTTTTGAAGAGGGAAAAGATTTCAATGGGCGTGAAGAAATGTTTTTGCTTCTGTATTATATTTGTCTGTCAAATAGTTTAAGAAAGTAAATACTTGGAAAGGGGGCTTCCCAGGTGGCGCTAGTGGTAAAGAACATGCTCGCCAATGCAGGAGACTCAAGAGATGCAGGCTGGATCTCTGGTTGGGAAGATCCCCTGGAGGAGGAAATGGCAACCCACTTCAGTATTCTGAGAATGCAAACTTGCGATTTACTGTGGAAAGGCTTTGGTCTCGGCTGGAGAGATGCGCCGTTATAGAAGACAATCCACTTCACGTGTGACCTGGGAACTCCAAAGAGCTGGCGGTTTTGTCCTGCCTCTCCGTATTCCTGCCGGTCATGTGGAGATGCTGGCCTTAGCTTGTGCTCTTCCACCTGGAGCATCCTTTCCATGCCTCTTATTTTTAAATTTTTCAAATATTATTTATTTGGCTGCACTGTGTTATGGCATGCAGATCTTCGATCTTTGCTGTGGTGTGTGGGATCTAGCTCTGTGACCAGGGATCGAACCCTGGCTTCCTGCATTGGGAGTGTGGAGTCTTAGCCACTGGACCATCAGGGAAGTCCCAATAGTACCTACTGTTCTTATTTACTGTGTCAATTAATCTGTCTCTTCAGTTTACAATGTCCACTCCATGAGGGCAGGGTTTTTATCTAGTTTACAAAGCAGTCTGTACACCATTCCCACTCCCAAGCTTTCAGTCATGATGATGGGGGGAAGTGGAGATAGTCGTCCAAATAATTCAAATCAAAGATGACTAAATAAGCCCGGGGGTTATAATGTGACTATAGTTAATGACAGCGTATTTGAAAGATGCTAAGAGAGCAGATCTTAAAAGTTCTCATTACAAGAAGAAAAACTGTGTAACTATCTGGTGATGGATGTTAACTAGACTTACTGTGCCGATCATTTTGCAATGTATGCAAATATACACCTGAAACGAATATAATATTATTTATCAATTATAACTCAATTTAAAAAAAAGAGAGATGACTTTCTTTTGAGCTGTCAGCACTCCAGGACCTCACTTATGTGGGTGGGTTTTTACAATTCACCAGTTGTAGCGATTGTGAAGTTTAGCCTTAGGCATCCAAGCAGTGCGTCACGTGGTAGATGCCACTCTGAAGCTCAAAACAATATATTCTTTATTCTTTCACACACGCACACACACACACGCAAAATACCCAGGAACTTCTCTAAAAAATTTTCCAGAAAATGCATCATTTGGTGTCGTGAAGAATTGCATCAGAGTAGGTGCTTAATAGAACTTTCTTGACTTGACCCTCACCAAGGAAATGTAAAAAGTCAAAGCATTTTGTGTACAGAACACCAGCTCCATAATGGCAGGACCAACCAAGTTATGTTCCCACACTCCTGGCAGGGTGCCTGGCACATAGCAGGGGATGGGAGCTATGTTAATGAACAGATAAATGAATGAATGAATGGTGTCCATCCGTCTCAGCTACTGCAATATAGACTGAACTTTAGGCACCAGTTGAGATCATGAAAAGTTGTGGGAGAAACTTCCCTTGTGTGTGCAGTGTAGTGGATGGATAGGTAGGCGTTTAATCTGAAGATCAGGCGGCCATTTGCACGCCCAATTAAAAGTTTCCAACCACAGTTTTGCTTGTGTGCATACTGCCCTTGTAATTAGCCATGTGTATAAAATGCGTTAGGCTTTTGTAACAGGAGAAACAATAAGGAAATATATACCTGTGGAAGACAGGTGAGCATCCAAGGAATTCTAGGCCTGAACAACAACAGAAAATATGAAAGCAATTAGGTAATGCTTTTTACGTCTTCAGAGCAGAAGGCGTCTGAGAGCAGATCCAAGCTTTACCCAAAAAACGAACAAACAAAAAAGTAAAAGTAAGAAAAGAGTTTTAAGGCCAATGCTAGGTCTGGCCAGCTAAATAGCTTTACTCAGTGTAACAATTATCAAATTATTAAACAATTTTTCTAACGAACCACTCCAAAATGTAGTGGCTTAAATCAACTAACTAAAAAAAATTATAAGACTTTTTTTTTTTTAGAGCAATTTTAGATTCACAGCAAAATTGACAGAAAGGTAGAGATTTCCCCAAAACCCCTTGCTTTCATATATGCACAACCTCTTCCAACCATTTTTTTTCTAGGTCATATTCTTTTCAGTGAAACTCTATCCAAGTGCGCTGCCGGATGCATTTGCGGTCAGCGGCCAGGCTGGATGACGCAGGGTAGCCCCCCTCGCGTGTCTGCGGGCCGTCCCGCTGGACAGTGGAGGAGTGCTCAGCCTGGACTGTCTCTGTTCTGGGAGGTCTTTCATCCCCCAGCAGGACGGCCTGAACTTCTTCACCTGACGGCCTCAAAAAGTGAAATACATAAAGTGCTGGGACTCCCCTGGTGATCCAGTGGCTAAGACTCTGCATTCCCAAAGCAGGGCACCTGGGTTCCATCCCTGGTCAGGCAGCTAGATCCCACCTGCCGCAACGGAGAGTTTGAAGGCCTCAACTAAAGATTCCGCATGCTGCAGCCAAGAGCTGCTGCAGCCAAATAAACACATAAAATACATTAAAAAAAAAAGAAATATATAATACAAAGTGCCTTGAGTCTCATCTGAGGCCCTGTACCATAGCTCTGAGACTTGAAGATAACAATAATAGAGTGTCACCATGGGGGAAAACTGGTCTAGCCAAAACTAAGGAGTATAATCAATAAATCGACTTAATATGGCAGATATAAGCGACTGAATAAAAACATAGGAGAGGTGATATCACTGTTAGGACTGTCAGATTTAGCCAAGCAGTATTATTAATAGCATGCAACAGTTGGGGCTATACTTACACTAAAAAATTATTTGTTGTTTGTCTGCACGTCAGATTTAACAGGGCATCTGTGCTTTTTCTGGCATCTACTGTTAACCCCAATGCTCTGGATCTCCAGTTTTCCACCAGGAAAGTGACCAAGTGAGGGAGTGGGGAGTTGACTGTATGTTAGGTGATAGTAAGGCTTAAGTTCCTTCTTTTTCTTTCTTCAACATAAGAAGCAGATAGAAATGAAAGTGTTGATATTTCCTTCTGCTCCCCTAGTGGGTCACCTGCCACCAACCACCCTCTCCTCTTTGGAGATCTGCCACCCGTGACACTCCTCACACTGGGGATCACTGCTTACTGGGTTTAATAGTCTCCAGGGCTAACTCACAGACCACACGACCTTGAGCAGATATCTTAAATCTCTCAGTCTCCTCATCTGTGAAATGGAGCTAATAATAGCACCCACCTCATCGAGCCTTATGAGGATCATATGTAGAGCATGCCTGAAAGGCTGGACACAGCGTCAGACGGAGGACGTCTCCTCCCCAGAGGAGGCCGGTTACACGTTAGCTGTTACTATCATTGCTCTCATTGTTTTTGGTGGTCATGGTTGGTCTGATTCCAGTACTAGAAAAATTGTTATAGCATTAAAAAAGAAGAAGAATCTTAAAGCCTTTTTCAAACTCCATATCTGTTGTAAAAAATTACATCTAATGCAAAGTCCCTAGAATTGGTATTCTCAAATAGTGGGACTTTACTTACATTTTGAACTTAGCGTTAAAGTGGAGCTCTCAGAGCAAATTTATGTATATATACTTCTGCATACACAGCCCACAGCCTTGTGAATGTACATCAGACCCTTGAAGCCTGTCAGGAAGAGTCTCCGCTAACTGGAGATATGCGGGGATTGGCATACGGCAATAAAAATGCCATACCGACACCTAGCCAGGTCACACAGTTAGTGTGACCTGGTGCAAAGCACTTACCCTCCTGATGGTTGGGTTTTACATCTCAGCTTTTCCTAAGATTTAAGACAGCCGTAGGAGCACAACTTCCACATAGAAAAGAAATTAGCTACAAGGATATATTGTGTAGCACAGGGAATGTGGCCAATGTTTTACAATAACTGTAAATGGAGTGTAACTTTTAAAAGTTGTGAATCACTATATTGTGCACCTAAAACTTATGTAATAATTGTAAATCAACTATATCTTCATTAAATAAACAAAAATACAAAAAGATGTGTATAAAAAGACTTGTATGAACATTGTCTGTACAAGCACATTATTTTAAAGTCCAATGTGCCACTCACACATTATCAGTTGTTATGTCCAAGAAGCACTTGCTTCTTTTGTGGCTGGATGGTGTAAATCCATTTTCAGGCCCCAAAAGGATACAATAAAGTTATTTCCAAGTTTACGGTTGAAAATCAAACACCTTACTTAACCTTCAATCCTGACCTTTTTAATTCACAAAGTTTTGAAGATAGTCACTCTGAGGATTGTGGGAACCTTGCTTTTGTGGGCTGAGTATAGTATTCACAGTGTTGGACATAATACTAGCTTCTAATAGGTGCTCACGATACAGCTGTAAATGAAAGCAAGACTAAAAGGAATGGGGTGTCCTGAGGAAACAGATCTACTTCATGCTGAGATGCATACTAGGGTTGTTTCACTCTCGAGGGTTGATGCAAACCTGTTTTCTACTCAGGGCCGGTTCTTCAGTGGATGGGAGTCCAGTCTAGCCCAGAGAACTACTCCCTCAAATCAAGCATTTAGCACAAGTATAATCATAGTTACCAAGGGAGATTTTGCTTTAAAATATTTTCTGGGCCATGGAGGAGTATGCTCGGGAACCTTGCCCATGGCGAATTGTGGATGATTGCGGTGGAGCCTTCACTATGGGTGTTATTGGCGGTGGAGTCTTCCAGGCCATTAAGGGCTTCCGCAATGCCCCTGTCGGAATTCGGCACCGATTGAGAGGCAGTGTCAATGCTGTAAGGATCAGAGCCCCCCAGATTGGAGGTAGCTTCGCTGTGTGGGGGGGCCTGTTTTCCACCATCGACTGTGGTCTGGTGCGGCTTCGGGGCAAGGAAGATCCCTGGAACTCCATCACCAGTGGTGCACTGACTGGGGCTGTGCTGGCTGCCCGCAGTGGCCCATTGGCCATGGCGGGCTCGGCAATGATGGGGGGCATCCTGTTGGCCCTCATCGAGGGTGTTGGCATCCTTCTCACTCGCTATACTGCCCAGCAGTTCCGCAATGCACCCCCGTTCCTGGAGGACCCTGGCCAGCTGCCCCCTAAGGAGGGTACCCCGGGCCCAGGCTACCCCAGCTATCAGCAGTACCACTGAGGAAGTGACCGCCTATCACCGCCACTGTGGGAGCTCCTCCTCGGTCCCCTCCCCGATGATCTACCTCGAAGGGAGGGCTGGCTCCCAGTTGGCCTATGGGACCCTTGAGAGGGCCTCTATCTGTTCTCTTATCCCAGGTTGGGGGTGGGGCACCCCAGCTGCCCTGATGGATGGGTCCCTTTTCTCTCAGGGCACCCCAACCCCCACTCACATATGTAACACACTGTCACCCCAATCCCTTTGCATGGCGCTCTGATGAGTATTTAAAGCCAGTTTTGAAAATGAAAAAAAATATATATATATATTTTCTGGTTAAGAGCCTGCACTGTTGGGGCAGATTACCTGGGTTTTCCTGCTTGACCCCTGTTCACGACTGTGTGACTTTGTGCAACTTTCTTAACTGTTCCGAGCCTCCATTTCCTCATCTGTAAATTGAGGGAGCCAAGAGGATTTAGCTTGCTGAATTATTGTAATTACAAGGATAGTTACATTTGCATAATATTTATTTGTGCTTATTCTATGTCATAAGGCTTCCCAGGTGGCTCAGTGGTAAAGAATCTGCCTGCCAATGCAGGAGACACAGGTTCGATCCCCAGATCGGGAAGATCCCCTGGAGAAGGAAATGACAACCCACTCTAGTATTCTTGCCTGGGAAATCTGCATGGACAGAGGAGCCTGGCAGGCCACAGTCTATGGGGTCGCAAAGAGTCAGACACGACTGAGAGATGGAGCGCACACACACTCACTGTGTCAGGCATTCTCTAATCATCACCCCTAGACTCCATCAAGGAAGGTAGATTAAGTCATGAAAATATATCACACCCAACCCAACGAAGTTTTTCCCCCTTGAGTAACAGATTTATATACATATATATGTATATATATACATATATATATATATAATTCTTTCTGAATTTTTGCATACTACTGGTCTAAGGGAAGTGGGATAAAAGACTCAAAGAACAGTAGTAAGAAATAGTAGTGGAAAATCAAAGAAAAAAAAATTTTTATAGCAAGGATATTGTTGTTGTTGTTTAGTTGCTAAATCATGTCTCTTTGTGAGTCCATGGATTGTACGTAGCCTGCCAGGTTCCTCCATCCACGGGCTTGCCCAGGCAAGAATACTGGAGTGGGTTCCCAATTCCTTCTCCAGGGGATCTTCCTGACCCAGGGATCAAGCCCCCACTCTTGAATCTCCTGCGTTGGCAGGCAGGTTCTTTACCACTGAGCCACCAGGGAAACCCCAAGCCAGGATGACTAACACATTATTATCTTTTCGGTTCAGTTCAGTCACTCAGTCGTGTCTAACTGTTTGCAACCCCATGGACTGCAGCACACCAGTCCTCCTTGTCCATCACCAGCTCCCGGAGCTCACTCAAACTCATGTCCATTGAGTCAGTGATGCCATCCAGCCATCTCATCCTCTCCCGGCAATCTTGATTCCAGCTTGTGCTTCTTCCAGCCCAGCATTTCTCATGATGTACTCTGCACATAAGTTAAATAAGCAGGGTGACAATATACAGCCTTGACGTACTCCTTTTCCTATTTGGAACCAGTCTGTTGTTCCATGTCCAGTTCTGACTGTTGCTTCCTGACCTGCATACAGATTTCTCAAGAGGCAGGTCAGGTGGTCTGGTATTCCCATCTCTTTTAGAATTTTCCACAGTTTATTGTGATCCACACAGTCAAAGGCTTTGGCATAGTCAATAAAGCAGAAATAGATGTTTTTCTGGAACTTTCTTCCTTTTTCGACGATCTGGCAGATGTTGGCAATTTGATCTCTGGTTCCTCTGCTTTTAGAAGAACTAAAAAAGATTATTATCCTTTAGAAGAACTTAATTGTTCTTTGGGGGAGGGATGAGTTCCATAGTCAATAAATTCAGGAAACACAATCTCCTCCCTTTGAAAATCCACAGCATATGTTTACATAGTAAAGGCGCTAAGAAGTTCTGTAGGAAAGAAAACAATTTGGTGTTCTGTAACCCAGCATTTCCTACGCTGACTGACCACAGACATTTCTGCTGTTGTTTCATGTCTTCTATCACTTATTAACACTGTGGAACACAGTCTGGAAAGCTCTAGCCTATTGCTGTGTCTACAGGAAATCCAGGCAAACATGAGGTTTGCTCACGAGGATCGGAGCATAACTCCAAGAGCACTGCTGGAGAGAGGCAAATGCCCAGCTCGCGCATTTTTCAGCCAATTCTTGTGCTTCGTGCACGTGTGGCTTCACAAGCTGAACTGCAAGCGGCAGAAGACCTGGTGAATAACAGCCACAGTAAGGAAGCAGAAAAGGTGACGTCTGTTGCTTGCACAGTGAGACAAAAGCACTAACAGGGCTTGGTTCTTTCGGCCGCAGCCCCATTCGGGGTACGGCCCCGTGGCACCGTGCTCGGGGCAAAGGGCAAACCTACGTCGTGCCAAGTGGCGCCTATTTATAGGCAGTGAGGGCTGTTCTCCCTTCAGGATATCGCCAAGAGGGCTGCTACTCAATTTTGAGTCAACACTGTTATTTCTTCCTTCCAGTTTGATTGAGATATCATTGGCTTACGTACTGTGTAAGTTGAAGGTGGCCAGCATGATCTGACTTACATACGTCATGAAACGATGCCCACCACAAGACGGGTGAACAAGAGGAGACAACATTCAAGAGAGAGAACAAGAAATTGTGATGAGAACACTTAGAATTTACTCTTTTAACAACTTGTATATGTAACATGGGGCTTCCCAGGGAGCTCAGCAGGTAAAGAACCCGCCTGCCAATGCAGGAAACCCAAGAGACGCGGGCTTGATCCCTGGGTGGGGAAGATCCCCTGGAGAAGGCAATGGCAACCCACTCCAGTATTCTTGCCTGGGAAATTCCATGGACAGAGGAGCCCAGCAGGGCTACAGTCTAGGGTTGAAAAGCATTGGACGTGACTGGGCATGCACACACCTATACAACAGAGCAGTGCTAATTATATTTATCATGTTATATAGCACATCCCTGATGCTTATCATATAACCGGAAGTTTGTATCTTTTGACTACCTTCATCCAATTCTCCCTCCTTCACTCCCCACCTCTGCTGACCAAGAGCCCAATCTGTTTTTCTATGAGTTTGCTCATTTTTGAAATATAATTGACCAATAACACTATGTTCATTTCTGGTATACAACACAGTGATTTGGTATTTCTATATATTTCAAAATGATCACCACCATATTACTTAAGAAAGTTATTTATTCATCTTGCTTATTTATACTTTTTCTTTTTCATTTCTCTGCTTAATAGCTTAATAGAGTCCTAATTCTTTGGAGATGAGATTTTGTCGTTGTTGTTGTTTAAACCACCTGTGTTCAGCTTTAAATGAAGTACAAGAGTAAAAGTTATAAGATTTTACCACGTAGTAAAGTGTACTCAACGGTTTGATGAACTTCACTCTTTTTTTCTTAAACTTTTCATTAAAGTATAGTTAATTTACAATGTTGTATTAGTTTCTGGTGTACCACAAAGTGATTTATTTATATATTCTTTTTCACATTATTTTCTACTATTTGTTGTTCAGTGGCTCAGTCATGTCCGACTGTCTGTGTCTCCATGGACTGCAGCATGCCAGGCTTCCCTGTCCTTCACCATCTTCTGGAGTTTGCTCAGCCTCATGTCCATTGAGATGGTTTATTACAAGTTACTGAATATAGTTCCCTGTGCTATATATACAGCAGGATCTTGTCATTTATCTACTATTTGTGTAATAGTTTATATCTGCTAACCCCACACTCCAGTTCATCCTTTCCCATCCCTTTTGATAATCATGTTTGTTTTCTGTGTCTGCGAGTTTGTTTTGTAAATAAGTCCATTTGTGTCACATTTTGGATTTCACATATCAGTGACATCACATGATGTTCGTCTTTTTGACTTCCTTCACTTAGCCTGATAGTCTCTGGGTCTGTCCACATTGCCGCAGATGGCATGGTGTCTTTCTTCTCAGAGGCCGGGTAGCACTGCGCTGTGTGTATGCTCCACGCCTTCTGTATCCGCTCATCTGTGCCTGGACACTCAGGCTGCGTCCATGCCCTGGCTGTTGTGAACCGCGCCGCTGTGAGCGCCAGGGCGCGCGCATCTTTGGTGCCCTTCTTGACGTTTCTCGCACACACGGGAACTTCACAGTACATACACCCTGTGCTATGTGCCACAGCCTTTTTCTGCAGTAATAAACATCGTCCAACCTCATTTCTATTAATGGCTGAAAATATTCCATGGTGTGACTGTGCCATACATTATGTAACCCTTCGTCTACCTTTGAGGGACATTATGGTTTTTTGCAATTTGTGATTATTAACAATTCTGGTGGGAACACCCTTGTGTGTCTAGCTTTTCACACTTAAAACATGTTCTCCTTAAGGTAAATCTCTAATAATATCTGTAACAAAGTGTACCTCTGTCTTATGTTTGGTACCATGTTGCCAAATTTTTTTCCAGAAAGGTTATATGAAATTGCATGCATGCTAAGTCAGTTCTGACTCTTTGCAACTCTATGTACTGTAGCCTACCAGGCTCCTCTGTCCGTGGGATTCTCCAGGCTGGAGTTGGTTGCCATATTCTTCTCCAGGGGATCTTCCCGACCCAGGGGCTGAACCCAGGTCTCATGTCTCCTGTATTGGCAGGCGGGTTCTTTACCATTAGTACCACCCTCATTCTAAAAGTGCAAGAAATTGCTTCTTTTATACTTGCAATTCTTATACATTTATAAGACCACTCTTGATCTACACTTTAAAGTATTACTATTCCCTAGGAGAAAAGATCAGTTTTGTTGTGAAGTGGGTCACTTTTGAAGAAAAAAAAATGCCTACAATATGGAATCCAGTTAATTTTCCATTTTGTCCACATAATAAGGAGAGAATTAGTTCTTTAAGCAGGATAGAGATAAAATTTGGACTCAATACTATAACGCAGATGTGTGTGTTAGTTGCTCAGTCGTGTCTGGCTCTTTGCAACCCCATGGACTGTAGCCCGCCAGGCTCCTCTGTCCATGGAATTCTCCAGGCAAGAATGCTGGAATGGGTTGCCATTTCCTTCTCCAGGGGATCACCCTGACCCAGGGATGGAACCCCTGTCTCCTGAATTTCTGGCAGATTGTTTACTATCTGAGATAACACAGATACAAAAGAGGAAAAGTTTCATCTTTTCCAATGTTTGGAAAATGCCTAAGGATTCTCTTTCAGTAGATAAGAATCTATGCAAATCCAAGATTTAGTTACTTAATGTACAACAGACAACCTGATCACTTAAGGGAGGATACTG